GAAGGCTCTCCTCAGTGCAAGACACATGAAAGCCTGCATGGAGTTTGCTCAAAAACACCTGAAGGACTCCAAGATGGTGAGAAATAAGATTCTCTGGTCTGATGAGACCAAGATAGAACTTTTTGGCCTTAATTCTAAGCAGTATGTGTGGAGAAAACCAGGCACTGCTCATCACCTGTCCAATACAGTCCCAACAGTGAAGCATGGTGGTGGCAGCATCATGCTATGGGGGTGTTTTTTGAAAACCTTCTCCAGAGTGCTCAGGACCTCAGACTGGGCTGAAGGTTCACCTTCCAACAAGACAATGACCCTAAGCACGCAGCTAAAATAACGAAGGAGTGGCTTCACAACAACTCTGTGACTGTTCTTGAATGGTCCCGCCAGAGCCCTGACTTAAACCCAATTGAGCATCTCTGGAGAGACCTGAAAATGGCTGTCCACCAACGTTTACCATCCAACCTGACAGCACTGGAGAGGATCTGCAAGGAGGAATGGCAGAGGATCCCCAAATGCAGGTGTGAACTTGTTGCATCATTCCCAAAAAGACTCATGGCTGTATTAGCTCAAAAGGGTGCTTCTACTAAATACTGAGCAAAGGGTCTGAATACTTATGACCATGTGATATTTCAGTTTTTCTTTTTTAATAAATCTGCAAAAATGTCAAAAATTCTGTGTTTTTCTGTCAATATGGGGTGCTGTGTGTACATTAATGAGGAAAAAAATGAACTTAAATGATTTTAGCATATGGCTGCAATATAACAAAGAGTGAAAAATTTAAGGAGGTCTGAATACTTTCCGTACCCACTGTAACACATTCCATGGTCTAACTCATCTTTCATTTAAGGCCTGTTCACACCAAAAAGTGGCACATGTTTTCTTGGGAAGTACGATATACTGGTTAGGAGGGATTCCACTGAAATCAGTGGATTTTCTTTGTTATTTTCCCAAATATAAACAAACATTACTGAGAAAGTTCTCTCTAATTGTTGATCGGCTGGTACAGTAGGCTGACCTCATGGTCCACCTCTGTTCCCCTGCAGGTCCCTGCGCAGTTTATCTCGCCGCTCCGTGGAGGAGGAGTTCCCCCATCTGTACGCTCACGGCTGCACGCTGCGCGACGTCTGTGCTGAATGCACCAAATTTGTCGCAGATGTCATTTCTTCCAGCCGCCGGAGCCTGGACATCCTCAACAACTCTCCCAAGAGGGAGGCCAAAACTGCCGCTGTTGCTCAGAGACCACAGCTGCAGCGTCAGTCCTGCCTCGAGACTTACCCTCAACCAAACCCTCCCCATCCTCACCCTCCGCCTTACCCGCAGTCTCAGTGTCACCCCGGGCTCCCTCCTCAGTCCCACTGTCAACAGCAGCTTCATGCATCGTCGTCTTCATCACAGCTCCACACCAAGAGTCAACAGTGCGAACCAATGAGCAGATAGAAACTCGATGCCTTTCTTCCCACACACACACACCTACACACACATTCCTTAATGAGCTGTGCTACTGCACTACACTGTGGACACAGACAGAGACATAGGCTTCTCTAAGGCTTCTAGTGGTTACATGTACAGCAGTACCGACTCAAAAAGCCATCTGATTGGTGTAAATGAATATAAATACTAAACGAAGACATGTACTCCAGTGAGTTCTTCAGTATTGCTGCATTGGAATATTAAATGCATTATTAACCTAAACAGACTGAGCTATACAGAACCCTTTTTAGCAAGACTCTAGCAACTCTAAACCACCACCACCACCACCACACCCATCGTCCGACTCCCAGTGATATTGTGTATCATTATCACCCAGCAGATGTTCTCTCACACACACCAAGGCCCTTCTGTTCACTCAGTGGGGTTTGAGTAACCAGCCGTCTCATCCGCAACACCATGACTTACTCACAGTGGCTGGGAGGCGAGAATACGGGAGGAGAGGGCAGATGGTGGTTGGAGTGGGTGGGGGAGAGGGGGAGCGGTTTTCACTGGGAGAGAGAAGCTGGAGGTGGGTTTGAGTGGTGGTGGTCTGATGGGGATGCACAGCATTGAGTCAGTATGTAAACCTGGCATTTTAGCTCTCTGCATTTGCCTTGTTCTTGTCATGAATGTAACTTAGAGAAACAGGATGGTAAAGCTGTAAGCTTATACACAGCACTGTATCTTTGATTTTTTAATTATCCAAAAAGGGAGTTGGAACGAGCGGCTACTGCATTTGACAATGAAAGACCCGGGTACAGCTGGAGGAGGTGTGGTGGCAGCGACACTGCAGACTGCACCTTGAACTGATGCAGTTTGATGATGATGATGTGAAACAAGCAGATCAAACTCCTGTCTCTCTCACTCCCCATGGACGCTTGCAATAAGCTCTGGGTTTGTAAACATTAAGAAAACTTAAACTGCAATAAAGTGTAACGATGAACATGAGCAGTGCTGCACCTGTGAGTCTTACTGTTTGCTCCTGCATGCTTTGTGCAGCTGTTCTGTGGCTGCACGACCGCTCCGCTGCACTTCATAAATAAATAGAACATAAAGTTGTATTTCTCATTGAATGGCTTTTTCTTTCTTGGTGCTCACTAATTAACTTCTTGTCTTCTGTCTGTATAGTCCATACACAAAATGTTTTGGTTTTATGAGGTTTCATGTTCAGGAACCATGTTGTGGTTAACCACAGCCAAATCCAGTGACTTCCACTCTGTTTTAACTTTTAAAGGAGCTGGTAGGAGTTTCTAGACTCTGGAGAGAGTCCGGATTGATGTTTCCTCCTGTTTCTAGTGTTTCTACTGAGCTAAGGTACATGGCTTCTGTCTCTACCTCCATACCAACAATAGAGGTACAGGAGAGGTCCTGGGGCCTATTTCAAGAAGGCGGTTTTGTCGAAACTCAGAGTTTGTTAACCCCGAAATGAGGGCAACTCGGAGTTTTCGGTTTCAGAAACGGAGGTAACTTAAACCCGTGAAGCGGGGTAAGTTAAACCCGTTTCACAAAGAGAGGTAATCTAAACTCAGAGTCAGTTACTACGGCAACTTACTCTGTGAACCTAACCTGGTCGGGAGCAGGTTTTATTCGGGAAACTCAGAGTTTCCTCCGGGTCTCCGCCCCTTTTTAAAGTGAAAGGTGTTTAATACCTCATTTAATCTTTCAGTACATTCATAGATTGCACACGTTTCCGTCA